TATATAAACACCAAGGTTTAAAATAAAAAAGTCATATTTGCACCAATAAAAAAAGAAAAAAGCCTAAAGTGTAGGGTAATTAATAAATATCAAAGAAATAAACAAAGTTATTAAACAAACATTTTTTTATTTATATGTATAATACATAATGTATTAACTACTTCTACTAAAAAGATACCTAACATACAAAATTAAAAAAATATTTCAATGAAAATAATTATTTATTAATTATTTAATCATTTAAATGGCACTCCAGATGCGAGTAGACATGGTCACCTGTTACGGCGCATGTCAGCCTGCTCGTCGACGCGTCAAAATAATTTTTGGGAACGTTTTCGATTCGCGCTGACTTCGACTTGTTTGGTCTACCTACAATGTATTTTCCTTATGTATAGCTTGCAAATGAAGGTATACCTTATATACGGTATACCTTCATTTGCAAGCTATACGTATATACGGTGTATAAATATATATATAAATATTTAAATTCATGTATTTATCTTCCCATAATACACTCGAGGTAAATTTTTAACCTAATAATTTTTTTTTTAATTATCTACGTTTTTTCCATTAAAATCTCGAATTAAGGGACATTGGAAAAATGACCTAAATTCTCGACTAATTTTTATGGCAAAAAGATTTTCGTAAAGAAAAATTATCCGGTAAAAAATTGACCTCTTGTTTATTAACCCCCGATAAATTATCACTATACAAGTTGTTCTTCCAGAAATGCCTTTGATCAGTAAAAATAAATTAAAATAAATTTGAAAACAATAACTTTTATCTCAGAAATTTGCAGACATTCAGTTCTGAGATAAAACAAAGTTATTGTTTTCAAGTCCATTAATTGCCATTAACAACCACCCCTTAATTACAATTAATGAACTAGCCCGCCTTTGCCTTTTACGTGTCTGTCGCCCGCCTTTGCCTTTTACCTGTCTATCGCCCGCCTTTGCGTATCTATCACTTGCCTTTACGTATCTATAACTTACATTTCCTTCTCCAATTTAAATTGGAGAAATACAGGTATAAGTGATGGATACAATTGCAATTAATGAACTCGCCCGCCTTTTTTTTAAGTATCTATCGCCCGCCTTTGCCTTTACGTATCCATCACTTATACCTGTATTTCTCCAATTTAAATTGGAGAAGGAAAGGTAAGTTATAGATACGTAAAGGCAAGTGGTAGATACGCAAAGGCGGGAATTTAGGGGTGGTAGGAATTCCTTTACTCTAATAATAATAAATCCTTTACTTACTCTAATAATAAGTACTTCAAAAATTACACTAATATTGCCAATTCTATTTAAAAGAAAATAATTTACATTAAAAAATAGGTAAGTCAACTTACTTTCAAAATTTTCCATAAAAATGAAGAAGCCCCACTCTTCTAGAATTTTCTTGTACGCTATTATAGTCCAGAGAAAAAAGCCAGTCACAGGACGGATCACCCACAACAAACGGTAAACAAAATATTTTCTTGGCCACTTTTTTAATTTGAATAATAATAATTAAATTATTATTCATTTTCAAGCTCAACGTACCGTCCACAAACAATCAGTGAATGTGCCGGCAGGCTCGGACAACGCGTTTGAACGCCGAAGCGTGCGAAAATACCCGAATAGGGCGGAAACACCCGAAATACGGATTTTAAGAAATTGTATTTATTGGGGCAGCAAAGTTTTTAATAAAAACAAATAAAAATTCTTTTGAAAAACGTTTTTCCTGTTACTAATTTGTATTTTGTTATTGTGAAATATTAAATGAAATATTTATTATCGACGGCAAAGAGCTTTTTAAGATCAATAAAGAGACACCAGAAATCTCTATTTTACTGCTACAAGAAAGTCAATTTTTAATTTTGGGAAATATTTTAGTAGTGATGGCTAAAAATACATCAGTAAAGAGGTTTTTGCTGCGACGTCGGGTTGTCATATGCGACGTTGGCCGGACGTCCAAATGCTATCTGGGTTGGACTATGTAATGCCCCTGCAACTTTTAAAAGGCTCATGGAAATGGTTTTAAAGGGGCTATCTTGGAAGACAAGCTTGGTGTACCTTGATGATATCATTGTGGTTGGAAAATCATTTCAGCGCTTAAGAATTTCCGGCCTGAAGCTTAGCCCGAAGAAATGTCACTTGTTCCAGAGGGAAGTGCAGTATCTGGGCCATGTCGTTTCAAGTCAAGGAGTGGCAGTGGACAAACAAAAGGTGAAAACGGTGCGGGAATGGACAATACCGAAGAACAAACATGATTCAAGAAGCTGTCTTGGATTATGCACCTACTATAGGTGGTACGTACCAGGATTTGCAAAGGTAGCTTAGCCTTTGACACGTTTGACGGAGGGAAAGAGACGATTCCAATGGGACGACGAGTGCCATGAAGCCTTTGAGGACCTGAAAAACGTGTTAACCAGCTCACCAGTCCTGAGTTATCCTCTCCAGGATGGTGGATTTATTTTGGACATGGACGCCAGCAATGTGAGCCTGGGAGCTGTTTTGTCGCAGAATCAAGAAGATAAAGAGAAAGTTATTGAATACTTCAGTTGACTTATATCCAAACCAGAATGAAACTACTGTGTTACTCGTCGCGACCTGTTGGCAGTGGTTAAATCAGTGGAACACTTTTATTGCTAAGAACGGATCATGCTGCCCTAAAATGGCTTATTCAATTTAAGAATCTTAAAGGACAGGTAGCAAGATGGATTGAGAGACTACAGGACTTTGACATGGAATATCGGGCTGGGACCATCCATAGAAATGCTGACGCCTTGTCAAGAAGACCGTGCCCGGAAGAATATACCGCAAACCAACGTGGCAGGAAGTCGCCCAATATTCGCCGAATGTGAAATCGTACTGGGCTCAATGGAATTCCATCATCTTAAGTGACGGACTTCTCAAGCGCGTTCTGGAGACTCCATAAGAGTGGAATGGCCGTATACTTTTTCTCCCAATGTACGAATGTGGCGCAAAAATAAATATCCAAACACCGATGGCATAAAAAATCACAACATGATTTTTTATGCCATCGGTGTTTTGATATTCATTTATGGGACACATTCGTACATTGAAAGAAAAAGTCAAATTTTTATAAATAGTTCTAAACAAAAGCTGTTTAACAAGGTTTTTATTTGGCAAAATTAGGTATCGTGGTTAACTGCTAGTACTTTTTTTGAATAAAAAAAAAATTAATTTTTAAGGAATTAAACAGACAACCACGATACCTATAGGTATTATAATTTTGTCAAATAAAAACCTTGTTAAACAACTTTTGTTTAGAACTATTTATAAAAAATTGACATTAGTAACAATATTATTTTGTAAATAAAAACTTGCAACTGTCCCATCCGTTACGCGTGGAATGGCCGTATAGGTAGGTACATATCAACAGTTTTTGTGGTTAAATATTTGTATGTATACATTCAATCTTTCCTTCAATTAAATTAACTATAGTTAATTAATTAATTAATTATATTAATTAATTAATTATTACAATACAATGTTTAACAAAACGTTCACGTTTTGTTAAACATTGGAATATCTTTTTTAATTGAACCCGGACAACATTCGTGATATTCAAACAACGTTTTATAAATTATAACGGTGTAATATGAATAACAAACTATAGCTATTTAAAACCTATAGGTTTTAAATTCGCAGATCACAGGGCTCATACGCATGCGCAAATTTTGCAAATATCACACCGTGAGTTCTACATGATATCACTGTGATAAAGCATGTGTATGCACTCAGGATATCACAGCGTGATAAAAAAATCACGTTGTGATATCATCATGACTTCACCAGGAAATCCCGATTGTTGTCCGGGAATATAAGCATTTAAGCGTAGAGTTTCTTAATCAATCATATAAGGAATAATCAATCGAAATCGAGTACTAAAAAAGTTTTTTAATTTTTTCCTTGCAACGTAAAACACAAATAACGTGCGCGATTTAGCTGTGCAATTGAACAAAATTTGTCGAGACTTCTGCCTTCCTCTCTTTTGTAAAAAAACTACCTATTTATTTAAAAATGATGTATAATCGGTGCTATAAATGTATTGTTGACAATTCTTAAATTCACGCAATGCATTCCACCAGATGGCGCGCGCGTTGCGAAAACCCGATACTTCTTGAGTGCGTTCGAAATGAGAGTGTACTTTGGATATGGTATAAGGATAGGTATATAATCACGTGACTTTACATTATACCTGACCTTCTTGTTATTTTCGTTAGTGTTTTTCGTTCTTGTTTTATTGAATTTTAAACAGATATAAATAAATTATATGAATGTAAATACAAATTATTCTTTGATGTACCCTATGCGCATGACGGGTAAAACTTAACCAAGTCTAAAGCTTGGACAACCGAGAGTGCACTCTGGGCATATACTTGCTGTTTCGAACAGTTGACAGTTGCATATTTCTATATAGGTATATACCAGAGAATTCGAACGCGCAAGGTAAACTTGGAGTGTATCCAGAGTGCACTCTTGCGAGTTTTCGAATGCGCTCCTTTGGCGTATACAGATATCTCGTAGTAAAAATAATAAAAATCACTTCAACACTGTACAGAGTTTAACGGCGGCCATTTTTGTTGTTTACAATTCTTGTGCATTGGGTTTGTGCTGTTTATACAGATTAATAATCGTTTTAAACGTTGTGTTTCTTAAGCCTGATTTATAGATTGCCTTTCTTCCTTCCTTCCTTCCTTCCGTAAAAGCATATAGTTACACACAGGAAGCACATATGTCCAGATTTTCGTATTGTTAATCTTTTACGCACATATGATATGTGCGTAAAAGATTAACAATACGAAAATCGCAGTGCAATTTATAGTTTACCGTACGGGAATCTATAAACAGCACATTTTGTATTGTTCATCTTTTACGGGAGGAAGAGAAGAAGGAAGGAAGGCAATCTATAAATCAGGATTTACAGAGGCACTTTTAAGAGGCCTTAAAGTGCTAAGGGCAGCCATTTTACTTCTGTTTTGTAAAAAAAAACTGTCAAATGTCAATTTTAAGGTTAATTTACCATAACCCACAAATTAACCTTAAAATTGACATTTGAAAGTTTGATGACAGCCCTGAAAGGTTTAATTCTTACAAAAGAGGAGTAAGAAACCCAACGTTTAAAACGATTATTAATCTGTATAAACAGAGCACAAACCCAAAGCACAAGAATTGTAAACAACAAAAATGGCCGCCGTTAAACTGTGCAGTGTTGCAGCCACAGAACATAAGGTTGCAGCATTAACGGTTGCAGTGATTTTTAGTAGGTATGCACAATTGTTGTCATAGATGACCGAAGGTTGTTGTGTGGATTGTGAATACAGTGTTGCCAACTCGTGGGAAATTTGAAGTGCCAAAGGGAAAAGGGAAATTTTAACATAAAATCATGTATTCGTGGGAAATTGTAAAGTCTTATCAATTTTCAACTAAAACAACTAGAAAAGAAAAGTCCAATCAACATTCATGAAAAAAAAATTACCAAAAAATGTTTACTATAGTAGTATTATACCTATAATAGGTACTACTTTTTCTTTTAAAAATAACAGCTTAAACATATCAAGTTTGTGGACAGCCAAAGTCAACAAACCAGCGGCCTAATAGTGACGTCACTGATGATGAGGATACATCCTGGCCGCAGATATTTTTTCCTTAACCAACGTCCCGAGTCCGCCCGCTTGCCGAGTCCCGCTGCTTTACCGAGTCATCTCGCGCTTGCGAGCTCAGTGACTAACGTCTAGGTACAGAAAAATTGCGAAGCTTCGAAACCAACCCAAACCCAACAACCCAACCCAACCGACCCAGCCCCATTCCTGGCTTAACTAAAATCTATTACTGGAAATTACTGGCAAAAAATTTACGTTGTATTCCTGGCAGAATACTTTTGGTTTGCATACAATGCAATTAATTTTTAATTTTATTTTTTAGCAGGGTATTTATACAGTAGCGTGCAAAGGTGATCGGGGGCCCCCCCGCAAATTTTGAGCTGGGGCCCCTTTGTCACTTATACCACCCAATGTGGTTCTCTACGGGGCCCCCTTAAGGTCGGGCCCCCCCCCCGCACCGCGGGCCCTGAGAGGCCCGTCCTGCACGCCACTGTATTTATAAATACAGTGTATATACTCCGCATCACACTTGAATGATCCAAGTTGAATCACAGTTTTACAGAAATTCACGCCATAAAAATTTTCGTTCCAACTTTCAAGTTTTTTACTGGTAAATTCCTGGTCCACATTCAATTACTGGCAAAACGGCAACCCTGCTTGCAATTTGAAATATACTCGGGGATTTACCGAATTATCCGTGCGATTTGTAGCAATAAGTGGGCCTGTGTTTCTGTGTAGTATTTTTGTAAAAGCTGGTGAAGTATTATTTTATGAGCTGTATAAAACAAAAAGTGTTAGATTAAACTAGTTTTTATTTACAAACGCAATTCGTAATGTCTAGTTCATCAAATGAATGATTTAAAAAAAATTATCATTTTTTTAATTTAAATTTCTCCGTTTCTCAAAATATTGTATTTTTCTTCTTAAAAACAAAAATACCCATGCCAAAATAAACTTTATCATTTTTAAAATTCGTGGGAAAATTTTCGTAAAAAAGGGAATTTTTTACCCTCTTTGTGGGAAATTTGATTCTCAAAGGCTGGCAACACTGTATGAATAGTTCATTTAAACGAATAAATTTAACTACTACAAAATATAACCTTACTGCTGTCAAAATGTTAAAAAATACTATAAACTTTTTAAAATTACCCAAAAGAGCAATAACAACAGCAAAACTAAAGGAAAATAATAAAATAAAACAATGGGCAATACATTCATATGGAGATTTAGAGGAATTACAGCTAATGTCATCAAGAGTACCAATTATTGATAGCCCCAATGATGTACAAATTGAAGTTAAAGCTGCTTCAGTTAATCCCATTGATTTAATGATGATGAAAGGGTATGGAAAAACGTTAATATCATTAATTAGGAAAGAGAATATAGAATTTCCCTTAACCTTTGGTTAGTTTATTTAATATTAATTAATATTTTATTAACATTTTTATTTTAGGTAGAGATTTTAGCGGAACAATTGTGAGCAAAGGACACAATGTTGATACCTTTAAAATAGGTGATGAAGTTTACGGATTTATACCTCTTAACAAACAGGGTTCATTCAAAGAAATAATAACTGCAGATAAATACCACATACAGAAAAAGCCATATAATTTAAGTCATTTAGAAAGCTCATCAATAGTTTATGCTGCTATGACAGCTTATAGTGCTTTATATCTTTTTGGAAATATGTGTATGAAAAATACAAATAATTTCAGGGTTTTGGTTTTAGGAGGGTCAGGAGGTGTGGGAACTTTAGCAGTACAATTACTTAAATCACAAAATTGTACTGTGTACAGTTCTTGCTCTACAAATGCTGTAGACATGGTTAAAAACCTTGGGGCAGATGTAGTTTTTGACTATAATGATCCTGACTACCTTAAAAATGTTTCTTGTGAAAAATATCACATAATTTTGGACTGTGCCAAATTTGGAGTTGAAAATGTGCCATCAGATTGGAGTTATGATCAATTCATAACTTTAAATTCCCCTTTGTTAGTTAATACTGACAAAAGTGGTTTGTTGTGTGGCTTTGCTGAAAGTGCTAAATCTTTATTTGAAACCAATTTAAGTAAAGGTGGTAAACAATGGAAATGGGGATTTTTTGTGCCATCAAGTGATGGGTTTAGATTTATTAATAATTTAATACAAAAAGGACAAATTAAACCTGTAATTCATAAAGAATTTAAGTTTGAAAATCTACCAGAAGCTTTTAAGTGTGTTGAGGAAGGGCATCTAAGAGGAAAAGTTGTTGTCAGTATTTAATCCAGTTTATTTAATCAACTATATTATTTTTTTCCAATAAAACTACCTATAAATATAACTTTGTTTTTTTTTTACTTTAAAAAATGTGTAGATTGTATATTATTAGCTATTGCATATTTGTTATTTGTTGCATATTATAAAAGAACTATATAAAAAGATTATAAGATTACAGTCTTTATTTAGATTCACCTATATTTTTTTAGTTCTTTATTCATATTATTTATATTTATTGTTACAAACAACTAAAAAATTATAAATCTCAAAATCTATAGATTGCTCTAATAACCTATAGGCAGAGTGTTGTAACAGTTACAATATTTTCAGTATCTAGCTACAGTTACAGTTACTTACCAAAATTTGTAACTAGATACAGATACATATTTTATTGCAGTAACTAGTTACAGATACAGTTACCTTCAAAAAGTATCTAGATACTTTAAGATACATACAAATTATTTTTTGCTTTAAAAAATTTAAAATAGAAATAAAAGGGAATTTTAAAGTGACAACAAAAATATACATGTTTATTATTTTTATTTTTTTTATAATATTTTATTTAAAATAACTTATTTTTTATAATATTTTTTTTTAATAAATAATAGTCGCAGTTTAATTAAAAATGTATCTTTGTATCTTAACACACCTAGTTACTTAGAATTTGTAACTAGTTACAGTTATAGTTAGTAGATTGGGATAAGTAACTAGTTACACAAACAGATACATAAAAAGTATCTAGATATTGTATCTAGTTACTTGTAACTAGATACGTTACAACACTGCCTATAGGCAACCCAGATAACAAATAAAATTATAAATTACTAATGTAATTTGATTTGTTTTTATATTAAATACTTATTCTAAGGCTAATAACGATAATAATTTTATTTTATATTTATAAGTAACTTGATCTCGCTAAATTAAGAAAACATAAATTATGTATTTTCCCCACAAAACTAGTTTTGTGATTTTCCCCTACCCCCTAAAATTGACATTTACCTAACCTAAAAAATCGGTGTCAACAAGTTTTCTTGCCTAGTTTTTCGGCCTTTACAGCAAATATTTAGCCAAAATTCATAAAAGGGATGTAAAAAATAATAAAACAATGGCTAACATAAAGTCAGGAAACCAAAACACCCGCAAGAAAGTCCAGGTTAGTCTTTTGTACAGAAAAACATTTTCAAAGAAAGTATGTTTATGGTGTTTTTTAGGTTTCAATGGTAATATGCGAGGCCGAAGAAAAAAGGCATCGTTCCGGAGTAAACGCCCTTCAATTGGATCCATCTCTGGATAGACTTTACTCTGCTGGAAGGGACTCTATAATAAGGGTCTACGAACATGAAAGATATTTGAATGGGATGGAACACCATACTGACTGGGTGAACGATATAATTATTTGTTGTGGCGGAAGACACTGTAAGACCTGTTTATATAATTTTTAATAAGGTCTTAAAAACCTAAAAGAGCATTTAGACTTAAATTTAAGATGTAACCTTTACATTTCCAAATAAGTAAAACTTTAAAGACACCAACTTGGGGTTGATAATAAACTGAAAACTAAATTGAACATTTAAAACTTTAGGGGTTGTCTAATTCTAATAAATGTTCTTATTAAAGGGCCAATGACTTACCTCCTATTATATACAGTGTGACCCATTTGTTTGTGACTAACTGGATTTGTTTTAAAGTGTAGATCTTGATGAACTGTATTTTTGGAGCAAAAACACCATATTTGTATACAAGACCTTCTATGTCAGTTTTTAAGAGTAAATTTTTAATTAATTCATATTAGCAATTTTTTTAAATAAAATCTAAGAATGGCACTGGATTCTCCACACCTCAAAACGACCCTATTTATTGAAAAATTTTAAGTATATAAACATGCACAATAATAACTACAAAAATTTATTCTGTCAAGTTATCCATGAAAAAAACATTGAAATAAAATTAAACTTATTTTAATAGTACCAAGTTCGCACAATAAATAAAGATTTTACAGGGGTGAGTCGCAAACAAATGGATCACACAGTATATATTTATTATATCACCTCCTTCAGCCAGGATATCACAAATTTATAATAATGTTATTTTAAAAATATACAGGGTGTTTCAATAAAAACTCCCAGGCCAATTATTTCAGTGGACGTAATAATTTTAATCTAGTTAGCGCTACACGAGCGTTATATCACTAAAATTATCATTACCAGAATTAAATGAACATCTGCTAAAGGATATTAAAAATATTTATAATTAAAATACTAGTTAAAATTATTTAAAAAAAACTTAACCCCAAATATCTCCTTTCATGTTGGATTTATCAAAAATTTGTATGGGACATAATTTGATCAAAAATTAATTTAAAAGTTCCTGTCATCGAAAAAATTCTTTGCACAGTGGCGCCACTTACATCTTGTATTATTTAAACAAATTTTTTACACAGTTGTGAAGCCAATCATAGAGGCTAAAAACGCGTTTACAGAATTTAAATGTCACTTTTAGTTTTCAAAATAATTGGCCTGGGAGTTTTTATCATTTTCTTACAAAAAATATATAGGTATTATTTTGTTATGAAATTATTGATATACCAATAGTACTATATCAATAGTACTATCAACTTAAATTTTCTATACCTACCTACTTTAATTTTTTTTTTGAGGAATTGGGATAAAAAATCTAGGACAAGAAACATAAACATCTTAAATCTATGTAAAAAAAATCTGTCAAAAACTTAATTGGATAAAATGCGACTAATTTCATTACATAATAATTGTCACTGTAATACATTAATATTATTATTCATAATTATTTTGTCTCATAATATTGTTGCCATTAAATAAAATTAATAATATATGTATTTAAATAAATTTAACTTACTTTTGAATAAACTATTGATAGTTCAAAGCAAACTATCAATAGTTCAATATATCTGCTTACCATTGCTAGCTTCGTTATTATTGAAGCTACAAAGTCGGTTAAATAAAAAAAAATGCAATTGGTAAAAATTTTTCGTCTGATTAAAATGGTAAAAACAAAAAACAATTAAACATAGGGTTTCCGAAATATTCACATAAATGACGTTTTTTAATTGGGAAAAAAAATTGTTGCATAACTATCCTAAACTTGAAAATTAACATTAATAATCACTTGAACTTTCTGCATAATCATGATTGTTGTTAAAATAAAGTAATTATTTGGTTATTTCAACCATCACACCATAACTTACATTTTCCCTATTGAGACCGATAGCAAATAACTCAATGAAGGGTATATAGGGATATCCCTATAGAGCAACCATAAAACATTTGACTAAATTTTATTAAAACCTATGGGGTCCTATGGGGGAAAAACTAATTTCTACATTTATGTGTATTTTCCCCATTGAAACCAATGGCAAATAAATCAAGGGTGGATATCCCTATAAAACAACCATAAATCCCAGCTATGGGTCCTATACATACCAATACACACTATAGAAAAACCATACATTCCGAAACTAATATCTATCGGTTTGAACAGGGTCTCTATGGGGTATTTTAAGCATGGAGGCACTTGAACTTTGTGATTGTTGAAATAACCAAATTATTACTTTATTTAAATTAAATTAAATTTAACAACAATCAGAAAGTTCAAGTGATTATTAAGGTTTATTTAAGTTAAGGGTAATAATAATGTTTTGTTCTAAATTAATTTTTTTTAAACTATGTAAAAATGTACAGGGTATTTCTGGTTTCACCGACTTTGTAGCTCCAATAATCACGGAGTTAGAATGGTGAGCAGATAATTTTCGACACTGTGTTATAGTACACAGTCTGTGTATAATATAATATTTACTATGTAGTCGTGTAACGTTTTTTGCGGATACCCGTTTCTTGCATTTTCTGCTCTTGGCAGACAAAATTCCAAAAGAATTTCAGAGGACTTGTCTCTCTCTCTCTCTCTATATCTGGCAGCTAGGTTTGGCATTCTGTCCATTATTGGTGTTATTCCTGGTTTTTCATAAAGAATAGAATTGGGGTCATTATGAAGAGGATTTTTTGGATGACAGATTTTGGTAATTTTTCTTAGGAAGGATGTTTTTGCAACTTGAATGTTTATTAAAGAGGGAGTTTTGCAATTGAGGAATAATAGAAACCCATACTCAATGACAGGTACACAGATGAATTGGTGTATTTTGATAAGGTTGTTGGTAGTTATTCCAAGGTTCGTTAACCCTTGGTCCGGAAAAGTGTTTTGCCCTTGATATTGCTTTCTTTTTTGTTATTTGTGTATGGATAGTGGGTGTCTATATATATAAAAACGATTGTTTCTTGCCCGTTTCCATCTCGCTACCGTTCCATTTCCGTTATAGGCCACTTTGGGATATTTTCTGTAAATAAATATAATAAATCTTAATTTACCAAAAAGCTATCTTATACATAATATGTATATTATACTTACAACAATTAACGTAACAATACAGAATATAATATGTATACAAGTAACAGTGGCGTAACTATAGGGCCGCAAGTGGATGCAATGCATCAGTGCCCCTGGCACAATAATCAAAAAATGTTAAAGTCAATTAAATAGCAATCAACAAAGCCAAAAATTTACTTATGCAGTTTGTCCCTTAAGCTTGTGTCGTGTGTGCTATGCTTATACGATGTAGATGCAGGGGGCAAGAAGCGGCTTGCGCGTTCAGTAAACTAAAGATCATTAAAAACTACATACGAAGTACGATTTCACAATCTCTCCCTTTTGGCCATTGAACACAAGGATGCGAAAGATTTAGATTTAAAACATGTAATAAATGATTTTGCTGAGGCGAAGGCTAGGTAGCGCAATTTTTAAAACACCTAAAACTATATATACTTGTAATATATCTACGCACATACAAAAATAATGTATATTTTATTTATGTTATACTTTTATTTATATTTTACTTTTATTTACCGGCAAAAACAAAAACAAATTTTTGTAAGAGTTTAGGAATGGGAGGGCAGGGGGGCCTTTACGGTATCAGGGCCCACAAATCCTATTTACGCCACTGAGGACAACATTAAATAAATCATTATATATAATCAAAGGTTTTTTGGATGTGATCAAGTAAATTTATTTTAAAATGTTTAATATTGATGCTGTTTTTTATTTTATGATTTTATTTTTATTATAAACTTGGTGAAATTGTTTTATTATTAATATAAAACCTTGAACTCTTCTTAATAAATAATCTTAAACAACATTTTTTAATGTTTTTGTTTGTCAGTCAAGTTTAACCCCCTAGGAGATAAAAGTAAGGGATGAAAACTCCTCTTCCTGCCAATGAAAGCCCAGTCCAAATCAATTCAGCCTTTTTGGAGATTAGTCCAGAAAACACCAACTTTATTTATATATACATATACATATATAAATGTATAAATAATCCGATCGTACAACATAAATCTGCTATTGCTTTTTCACCTGGGAGTGCACATTTATATTTACTTCTATGTAAATGTTTTCTTGCAATAAAGTCATATTAATAATAATAATTATAGTTGTCTTAGCTGTCTTAAAAAAAATTATTTTTGTAGTGATTTCAGCCAGTTCTGATACTACTGTAAAAGTATGGAATGCCCATAAAGGATTTTGTATGTCCACTTTACGAACACACAAAGATTACGTTAAAGCATTGGCATATGCTAAAGATAGAGAGCAAGTGGCCTCAGCTGGGTTGGACAAATCTATTTATTTATGGGATATTAACACGCTTACTGCCCTAACGGCAAGCAACAATACCGTTACAAGTAACAATAAATAATTATGTTTAAGCATACAAGTATAAATACTTTTTTTAGCTTCCAGTTTGATTGGAAGCAAAGAGTCCATTTATAGTTTAGCTATGAACCCCTCAGGCAGCATTATAGTGAGTGGGAGTACCGAGAAGGCTTTAAGACTGTGGGATCCAAGGACCTGTGCCAAATTATTTAAGCTTAAGGGTCATGCAGATAATGTTAAAGCTTTGGTAGTGTCCCGCGATGGGACACACTGTATTTCAGGGAGTAGTGATGGATCAATTAAAGTTTGGAACCTTGGTTTACAAAGGTAAGAAAAACAATAAAACACAACTTGATTTTATTCGTATACAGGGTCTATTAAATAAGCACAACAATTGTAGCACACACAAAAAACACTGACACTGGATTCGTTTAAATTTTACTTTATTTTACTTGAGTCTGCTGGATTAAATATTAAGCTGACACTCGCTCGGAATTTTTTTCAAATGTGCACACATTTTTTTTGCATACGAAATTTGCACTAAATAGGCTTGATTTTAGTACTTTATTTATTTGTGTGTGTGTGCTACCATTGTGCTAATTAAAAAGATCTCTTACCATGCATTAATTTTAGTTTTTTTATTATTGTTTTTTAGCTGCTTAAACAGTTTTGAACAATGTCTAGAATTTTTTGATGCCAGATTCTGGATCATCCAAAAATTTAAACAATGCTTTTTAGCAAATTATAATAAAAATCTAGAGGAATGAACTTTTAAAATTGGTCATAAAGGCTCAAAAACCTTTCAAAAGTGCTTGATCGCTTTTAAAAATGCTCGAGCATTTTTAAGAGTGCTTGATATTTGAATTTGGCGCCAAAACTGAAAAGCGGGATTATAACATAAGTTATGTCACAATTACCATTACAAAGTAATTAAAGTACCAATTACCAGGTATCCAAAAAAATATACAAATTACCAATTACTTTAGTTTTTCAAAAGTACTTGCAATTATCAATTACCCCTAAAAGGAATTGAAAATATCCAATTACAATAATTCAATTACTTTTTCTAGTAATTCAATTACTTTATCTGCGTCAAATTCCTTAAAAGTAACTGAATTACTATATTTAATTGAATTACCGATAAGTAATTAAATAACAAAAAAATAATTAAATAAAAGCCCCTGTTAATCTTAAAAACATCCAAAAAATTGTGCAAATTTCCAATTACTTTAGTTTTTTCAAAGTACTTGCAATTATCAATTACCCCTAAAAGAAATAAAAAAATGTTAAATTCAATTGCTTTTGCTAGTAATTCAATTAATTTATTTTGCGTTAAAAGTAATTGAAATACCCTATGTATTTAATTGCATTACCGATTAATTATAAAATAAAACTTATTTCAATCTTAAAAATAATTTATTTTTACAAAAACAATGGTTTACATATAACATCTTAATAAATGTCTTTTATATATTTAATAGAGTTTGCCTTTAAAAGTACCAGTTGCTCAAAGAGAAGATCAGACAATGCATGTCTCCTTGGAGCATTAACGATTTCTGCAAAAGAAAACAGCCTTTCTACTGGGGCCGATGAAGGAAGGCAACTATTTAACTTAAAAAATAAGGATCTCATGGCAGAGTAACTATTTAGGGCAGTCATTTCTGTATTTGAATCATTAAGGTATTGCAAAATTTCCAATTCAACTTTTTTCTTGTAATTGTTACTGGTAGGTTTTGTTGTTGCAGTTGTTGAATTTTCTAGTTCAAAGAAATCATCTTATTTTGTTTTTTTGGTATCTTCTTGAAGTGTGTTGTCCGTATAAATTTTCTTTTGGTCCTGAGCAATGTCCAATATAATTTTTGTTATTTGGTCATTGGTGTCCTCGTTTTTCTTTAAAAATTGCTCAAAATTCTGGACCCATCTTAATTTAAATTGTGGCAAAGTAAATGTTGCAACTGTTGCATCTTTATCTTCTTTTGTTGAAAAGTCAAAGTACTTCTGAAACCTTCTGAGTAAAGCGTCATGGCAAGCGTCTAGAATTGGTTTAGAAACTTTAAAATTTTCAAATTGCATTCTTTCGAATTTTTTTAAAAGAGACCCTAAGCATGGTAATAGAAAACCAAAAAGTGCATTTTTCTCGCCTTGCAAGATGTCTAAAGCAGAAGCTAAAGGTTTTAAAATTATACAATATTGAGTTAGGTATTCTATTTCAGATTCTTTAAACATCTGTTTTTTTTAATCAAGTTTTTCAAAAAGAGTGCACAATTTGTCCTTTTCTTCTAAAATTTGATTAATAGCATCAAACAACGAGTTCCAGCGCGTAGCTCCTGGATAACTTAAATTATGCCTCAGTACTTCCAAAATAATTTCGCTGGTCTTTGGCTTGCCAGCCATCTTCAGTATGGTACACTTGGATATAGAATGGGTGTGGCGGGTTCTTAAGGTTGGATCACTTTGAATGGCGTTCTTGACATCTGTAGTTGCAATGAGATTTAATGTGTGACTAGCACATCTAACATGTTTGGGTAATTGCAACGAGGAAAAATCATTTAGAATACTTACTTCTCCATCGCCGTTGTCACTCTCTATCGGTAATTTTTGTCAGGGTACCACCTCCAAATTCTTTCACAAAATTTGAGCCATTATCGGTAACTGTAGCCACCAGTTTCTCAGTATGTAATCCAAATTTTGCATGTATATCATCTAATATTTCCGCTATTTTGTCGAAAGTATGACTGCCCATAAAACGCTGACATGGAAGTGCAACAGAACATCGTTGATAATTTTCATCAATCCAATGACATGTAAGTCCAAAAAAGCTTCTGCGCTTTGCCGACCATATGTCTGCAGGCGTGCACACGTAGTCAACTTTTCCAAATCATTTTTAATTTTTGTCATTAATTCGGCAAAAAGTAAACCAATTTTCTTTATAGCTGTATTTCGACTTATGACATTAAGGTCCATGCCCTTAAAGAGTGCAATGAAGGAAGGATTGTCAATTATAGACACAGCAGACATTATATTTGTTATGAAATTTAAAATCCTTCTATCAAGGTCGTTTTGATCAATTTTTGCTATGTTTCTTTTAGTGAAGTTATCAGTTATCTTTCGCTGTTTTTTTGATATTGACAGGTCTTCTTGTTCTTCATTACTTCTTTTATTTTCTGGTTTATTCTCTTTCTTTTGTTTCTTAGTAGATTTATAATCATCATATTCTTTCATTGCATTTTCCTTGTCATGAATTTTTTTTAAATGTTTTAAATAGTTAGTAGACACACCCCATGTTCCTTTAATGGTTACAGTTTTTGGAAGACATAATTGGCATTGTGCTTCAACATTTTTTTTGTAACTCATTTAACTTAGTAACTTTAAAAAACTTCCCATCCAAATAAGGACATTTTTGTAAAACAGCAAGTTGAAGGCTTTCATCGAGAATGTTTTGCCTTATATCACAAATATCACTGCACTCAGAACCTTTACTTGACGAAGCAGAAGTAACGTCCGAACAAACTTTGTATTTTATGTTTCTTATATTTAAAAAATCCGGAATTGATCGCTTTTTCTCTTCCTTTCTTTCCTTCTCCGGTGTATATGTTGGATCCTCTGAATCTGACACGTCTGCGATAAAAGAACAACTTTCACTATTGCTTAGTGTATCCTCCTCCATTCTTGAGATAATCTATAAAGAAATAAAACCAGAGTTATAAGACTGTCTTATTAAGACAGGATTTTTCAATTAAGGTATGTACAATACATATTCTATATACACTGCGCATCAAAATTAACGCATAACAAGTAAAAAAATCCAACTCTAAAACGCCTTTACCAATCTTTATACAATTTTGTATAAAAATACTTTAACTTATATCTCAGTTTACGTGTTCAAGGGTTTTTCGAGAAAATATCCTTAAAGCCCTTTTATTTATTAATAAAAAATGCTCGAAAAAAAACTTTTATAGGGAAATTTGTTTTTAAGTAAATAAAAGATATGTTGTGAAAGACCGTATTTTTGTTAGTATACCTTAAAAATTTTGTACAAATCAAACGAACAGTAACGAAAATTAAGCGCTTCAAAGTCGTCAAAAATGACCACTTTTCAGCAAAATAATAATAAAGGGGTCATTTTTACCGACTTTGAAGAGCTGTATCTTCGTTACTGTTCGTTTGATTTGTAGAAAATTTTCAGGGTATACTAACAAAAATACGGTCTTTAACAGCATATTTTTTATTTACTTAAAAAAAATCCCTTAAAGTTATTTTTCGAACGTATTTTTTAATTATTAAATAAAAGAGCTTTAAAAATATTTTCTCGAAAAACCCTCGAACACGTAAACTGAGATATAAGTTGAAGTATTTTTATACAAAATTTCATAAAGATTGGTAAAAGAGTTTTAGAGTTGGAATTTTTTTACTTATTATGCGTTAATTTTGACGGGCAGTGTATTAACAATAAATTTCAATAATAAATAAATAAATACATAAATACATCACAATCAATATAATAACTCAATATATAATAATAATCTAATACTAATTCCTAGGAAAATACTATAGATTCTATACAGTAACAAAACAAATTCCAAAAATAAACAATTATAAATACAAATACATCGCAATTAATATAATAAATTGGAAAACAAAAAAATCGTATAAAGGCATTTTTTGTGCAAACGTTGTACACACTAATTAATAGTTTAAAAATTACATATGAGTTGTTCATTTTCAAGTATGAATATTTTCAATTTTTTGCAAAATAAATTAAAGTTTTGAATCTCTTTTAGTGTACAGGGTAGAATATTGAAAATTTTGGGACCTGTTACCCAAATATAATTTTTAAAAAGTGTTGAAGAAATTCTGGGAGTTACATAACCTTTTTGCCTGGTATCGTACTGGTGTTGAGCACTATTTCTTAAGATTGGGTTTTTATACATAAATTTTGCAACATTAAAAGCATATATTTGGTTAAAATTAAAAACGTTACTTTCCCGATATACCTCGTCTGTTGATGTTCTACGTTTTTTAAATAGTATTGTTTTTAGAATCCATTTCTTGGTAACTATAATATTCTTTAAATGGTTTTTATACGTTGCTCCATATAAAATAATTCCATATGATATTATTGATTCTGCCATGGATTTATATGCCATAATAAGTATTTTTTTTGATAGTATGTCTCTTAAATTATAAAATGAATAAACTACTTTTTTTAATTTGGTTGTTATGTATTGCGCATGTTCTTTCCATTTTAAATTTTGGTTTATATGTAGACCTAGATACTTTAAGAACTCAGTTTTTCTAATTAAACCTTGGCACTGGCAATCTCCTCT